GTTTCTATATAGAGAATATAAGTTTTAAAATCTATCTTCTTAACTCCAGGTGACCTCTCATCAGCTGTGGAAGCGGGTTTACAACACACTGGGAGGAAACCCGCGAAGCACAAGCGCAGCCACCTGCACACGCAGACACTATGAAAAGTCAGTGTAGTTATCTTTGCATGCAATATGTGTGGGTGGTTTTATTACATCGAAAGCTTTTATCTGATTCGATTATCATTTGTTTAGGTTGCTTCTGCCTTACGAGTGTCACTTGAAAGGCATAATAATGAGCAATTTGCCTCACAATCAGCCAAGGCCCTACCCCTACCCCAAAGAAGAGGATGGGGGCCAGAGGCCACCAAAACGCAAGCTGCCATCTCTGCCACTGGTTGGTGTTATTTTAAATTCATTTTTGTGCTGTTGCCAATGTATACAGAAGGTCTTCTGAATATTAACACCATGTACATTTTAATCATTTGAATAGATAAGTTCTGATGCAAGAAGTAATTTAGTTTGCTGTGTAAGTTATTGATTTACTGACAAGAGGTCGCAAATTAATCCAATAGTCGAATCATTATTAAATACTCATAGTTTTCTTTAATGATTGAAAACCTATTATATCTCCTAAATTAATCAAAATTTTTCTTTGCTCAGGGACCACCCTTCTTCCAGTCGGATCAACTTGGGAGTTTCTACCCACTGCCTCTCCCGTACCACTCCTTGTACCACCCAGTTCTCCCGCCATATGTACCTATACCATCCCCTGTAATACCACATCATGGCCCCCCGGCTCCCAAGCACCCAGTATTCACCTTTACCCCCGCTCATCAAGATTCAACCCCCATGGTTACAGATCCTCTAAAATTACTGCGCTCTATGGCGGAGCAGTACAAGATGTCAGCTGGATTGTCTTCTTCAGAACCCTTGAATCTGAGCAAGAAAGCTTCCGCTAAAGAGTCTGACCCCATCCCTGTCTCGTCGTTCTCCCCACTTGCATCAACCAAGAATCCCAAATTTTTAAACAAACCATCTACGCTCTACAGCCCTAAACATGCAGGTGTAATGAGGTGTGAAGGAATTGAGGCCCAGGAGGGTGAGTCCAGCAAGGGTGTGCCAAGCTTTTCTGACTCTGAGAAAAAGAGTAAGACCGATGATGATGATATCCAAGTCCTGACACCCTCCGAAAGCCCAATATGGATTTCTTCTCTGACCCCTGAACCAGACCTGAGTGCCTTTGTGGCCAAACCAAAAGCAAGTTCTCCGAAGGAAGACTTTCCAGTTGAGCCAACAAAGGACAGAGGTGTCAGAACAGAACCAGCAGGTTTTAATTTCAGTTATGTTCTGCCGAGGAATTCCAAAGAAAAGGATGGCAAGATGGAAATCGAGGTGCCACTGTCTGTGTTCCGTAACTGGTTACGGTTGTATGGTTCCTCTAAAAAGCTGCCAGAAACAAAAGAGCTTCTTGTCTCTGATAGCGAAGAGTCCTTAGGAAACACAAGCTTGTTGGGTGAGGATATTCTCCCGACAGACATGACATTTTGTCGTCCTCAGAACCAGAGCTTAGCAGAGGATCTGAGGCTAAGGAACAAATCAAATCTTGTACCAAACACAGAGACAGAAAACTACAAGGATAGTTCTCTCACCAGCAGTAAGACTTCAGATGGCCTTTTAACAAGAGGGGAAGCTGACCAGGGGATCTGGTCATTCGAGCCCAGGGCAAGAGATTTCTGGAATGCCCACTCCAAAGAGACCGTGGCCCCCCAAAATCCAATGAAACCAGGTTCCAGTCCAACCGGAATAAGGACAAACTCTAAGTTCTACATGGAAGACATGATGCAGAGAGGGATGCAGAGGTTAGAGGTGGAGCCTTCTGCTGTGCTGATGGTCAACTCCAGCACTGCAACTAGAATTCCCCTGACCCCTGAGGAGGTGATGAAGCTGCAGAACATCATGGCAAGTGCATGATGATGATGATGAGGGAAGGACCCCAACACCACATTTAAGCTGCTTCCTGTTAATAATTTATTATTTCAAAGAATCACTGTAAAATAGTGTAATTAGCATGATGTACAGTAATAATACAAAAAACAAGCAACAAAGATTGTATCCTCCAATTGCTTAATTATAATCCAAAGAATGATGAGTTTCATTATGATAATTTAAATGCTCTAGTGGGATTTCATTCCTCTTGTATGTCTATATAATAACAGATATTAACAGATGGAGTACAGTTCACATGTCATTAAAAATAAACTTTAAACACTTTCTGCTGTATTTTACTACACTTAAATAATTTTCTACATTTGGAATTTACTACAAAAATTTAAATAATTTTTTGGATATTACGTCATTTTTTAACTATTAACCATTGTTTTATTTCTCGATATTTCTAATTTTGTAAATATTTCCCTTTCTATGTCTTTCTGTTTGTTAATATAAAATAAAAACGTATTCAACCAACATAAATTTGTTTGCATAATATATCGGTATATGATTTAGTATCCTCGACAGAAATATAAATTATGCATTTGATAGTTAGTATCATCTAAATTTTTATACATTTTCTCTTTTTGGGGTTTTCAGTCTTGTTGAATTTGATACAGTTTGTTGGTACATTAAAGATGCATTGTATCTTTCCAAACAAAGTGTAGCTTTGTTAGTTTCTCTTGTCTTGTTTTGGTTTCAACTTGAGAGTTTTGCATGTTGAAGGATATGTGAAGAGTATGTCAAACAGAATGAGAAAACAAAAACATGACTGCATTTTTTCTGCTATGCCTGCCCAAGGCTGGCATGTGACACAAAGATATTAAACGTCTCTGGGAATTTACTGTAATAAATGAGTAAGAGAAGGATATATTAACATTTTGTTTATTTAGTTTAGAAAAAAAACAAAAATATATATAACACAATAACTAATATTTTGAAATAAATCTGAACAAAACTTATATAGTAAAAAGAGCTGAACAGCAACTAAACTTGGACTAAGGTATAGTCAACTCATGATATAAAGAAATCAGACTCAGTCAACATGATGAAAATAAAATCAGTCTTTATTTGAAAAGCAATGCCAACAACATTATCATAATTCAAAGTCATATTGCTGCAACAAATGCCTGTGCGGATGCAACAGCTATTTACAACTATTATCTGCTTACAGAAAATCTTTTCCATTCCTTTCATATACTATGAAATCAGTGTTGGTTTGCATCCATTTTTATTTTATAAAATGAAGGCAGAATTTTCCATGCATTAGCAAACTTAATGTCTAAACACCTGCTTCAAATACTGTAGACAACCTGCTCTGTAACTGCCCCGACTTTAATTACTACCTTTTTATTCAGAGGAAAAATAACACGGCTCACTGGTGGCACTCCCTTGACTGTAACCCATGTGACTTAATATTTGCGTGCAGAATGTTTGCTGACATCACAACAACAATGTTTATCACAAATCTATCATGCCTTAGTCTATTTCATATGAATGGTGCTTTGAATCATTGGGAGACGATACAATGCGAAGAAAGCTTGTGTCGTCTAAGTTAATAACAATTCTATTTCTGTCTCATTTTTGGTGACGCCTTGGACAGAAATAACCTGATAGTAGGGCCGGGCAGGAAATGGCCAGATACAGGTCTTGGCATGTCATTGTACAGATTGAGACAGATCATCACATAACATGTGTTTTGTGTTAAATTTCTGATGTCATCCTCATTACATGCCATTGCCTGACAATAGTTTCGGGATTATATCTAGGATATCCTTAGGCTTTTTTTTATTTAACATACATATTTTCTTTAAACCCTGTACAATTGTCTTCATAAGCTCCCTGCTCAATGTAAAAAATCAATACAACTTAGACATAACCTCATTCAAATGCTATGAAGACAGTGAGAATAGACTAGACAGTGTTATTTTAATGTTAGACTACATTCTGTTGATAAGAAACTGTAAATGTGAGCACTTAAACATTATTATTGCAATTTTATATTTGATATTTTCTCAATAATTGTATATTTCTTTGTTATACTTACATTTTTTTTCACATACCATTTTTTTAATAAAAAGAAACAAGTCCTTAAATCATATATTAGAGAATTACCTTAGCAATGAACCATGAACAACAAGAAAATAGCAAAGGATTTGTGGCGACTGTTAAAGATTTCTCGTTAAACTATAAGTATTTCATGATGGGTAAACTCACCTTTACAATCATATTTTTACACTTTCTGCAAATGTGTTTCTCAACTTCTAATTGTTCCAGTAAACACTAATGAAGCTATCATTAAAAACTTTAGAAAAACATAATTTCACTATAAATTGACCAAAACAAATGCTCACTAAGGCCGGGTCAACATTGTACGATGTTTTACCCTTTTCGGGGTGATTCTCCAGTTATGCAAGAATTTTCATTTTTCGATCGGTGAGTTTCAGCCTCATCCTGCATCTTGTAGTATACAGGGGGTAACGAGGGGCGATCAGCCTCTCCTCCCGATCAGAATCATAAGGTTGATAGAAAATCAAACATGTTTGAAATTCAGTTGGCCCTCGTGATTCATTGGTAAGCAAATCCTGCTGTTGAAGCGGAGCTATGAGCGTTTACGAGCTGATTTACCTGAACCTCAAGCACTGCATATGTGCAAACAGGGAGCTCTTCTTCTTCTTTTTCAGGACTGACGAGTCTGACCAGTGCCATCTCTCTGCACTGAGTCCCACATGTGGTTTTTGATTGTGCAGTGTGAGCAGTTAGATCACATCAGAGCATCGTGCTGTACGGTGGAAGAATATTAATCATGAGCCATTAGCTATTAAATCCTTTGATTGCGTCGTATAGTTTGAGCTTTAGCTCAGCAAAATGATTGAAAATATCATATAGTGTATGCCCGGCCTTAGTCAGATTTTTGTGAAGGCAGAATTACCGCTTAGAGAGAGCTTTGAAATGTAAAACCTTTGTTCCAAACAAGTATTTAGAACATGCAAAGAGGTAGGTATCTTTGTTGAAAGTCCTGGAAGATACAACATTGCAAGAATAGAATACAATCACAATACTATGAACACAATGATAACATTTTAGGTCCAGAAATAATAAAAGTTTTATAGTAAAGTCACCGTGCCTCATCTCTAAATGTAGTGTGAATCGATTTGGATAAAGCACTTTACAAATACAGGAAAATTGACATTTACCATAATTTAAAGAGAATAGAGTTATAACAGTAGGAGAATAAAGTCATGATATAACCAAGCTGGAGTAGAATCAAAATGAAGTTGTAATATTACAAGAGTAAAGCAGTACTTGTGTTTTCTTGTTAGAGCTCTTCCAAGAAAGAGCTGTTTGAGCTAATCAGGTAAGATATTGATAACTATCAAAGCTTTCTTCTCATGAAAATTTTTTCCTATTCTTATATTAAAACAGCCTTATTATGCAGTACTACAAATGTATTCTTGTAATTTAAAAAAAATGTATTAGAAAAGCCCCCAACTCTGTCATATCTGACAAATCTGGAGGAGCAGAAACTGTTTATAATGAAACCTGTAAGCAACGCACTTAACCATAATGTGGTTAGTCTTGTCAATAACATAATGACAAGACTTAACTGTAGAAAATAGCTGCTTTTAAGCTAATTTAATATTTGCTGCAAAGTAGTTTCACAGGTCAGTGAAATATTGGAAAGATATAGCCAGGTCAGATAACCCCAGTTAATTTTTTTTTTCTCTTTAGATTTCATTATACATTGTTTAAAGTAGATATGTACTTCACATTATGCAAGAAAAACCATAACCCTAAGTCTGAAGGTGGGAGCATCATAGTGTGCTGATGTTTTTATTTTTAGCATATGGTACTGGTAGACTTCATATATCTGAAGAGAGACTGTATGTAGAAAAATTCTTGAGAAGAGGAAATTTGGATAAATCTTTAAGAAGGCAAAGATCCCAAATGCATTCATCCATCCATCCATTTTCAGACACGCTTAATCCCAAGTGGGGTCGCGAGGGGTGCTGGTGCCTATCTCCAGCTGTCTATGAGCGAGAGGCGGGGTACACCCTGGACAGGTCACCAGTCCATTGCAGTCCCAAATGCATTCTCAAGGAAATATCTCAAAGCACTGCTAGGATGACCCCTTCAACTTTCTAACATGACTCCAGGTGATTATCTATAAAAATAACTTGCTGTAGATAACATCTGAATACAAATAACCTAATTGATGGACTCTGGACTTTTTTGGATTGTTGCCAACATATGGTGTGAACTCCTTCTCAATAGCCTTATGTATACTCGCAGTGCTAAGTCTGCTCTATTAACATTCCGGAGGCCAAATATAAACAACGTAAGAAGAAGCTAGACAACAAAACAAGTATTATGCAATCATTGCTAATGGGTGCGGTGTTGACAGCTTACTGTAAATTTTTTGTCTTCTGAGTTTCCCAGGAAGTAGCTTAGACTGTGTCTTTGGTTGCAGTGTGAAAGTCTAAAGGATGACTAATTGGAAAATTGGTTTAGTGAAAGAAATAAAAGGCCAGGCACAATCTAATTCTTTTTTTTTCTCTTAGATAGATTTTGGATTTGTGTATAAGAGGAAGACCAGCCGTAAGAACAGTACAGTAAATCTGGACGTCTTTAAAGAATTTAGTACATGCAGCATTGATCATGTCCTTGTCCATTTTGTCCAAGTTGAAAAATCACAGGCGGTCAGATTGGGAGCAACTGATTGCTCTCTGCTGTATCTCTGTCGGGATGATTAATAGCTGAAAAACAAAGGAAAAATTATGAGTCAACTAGTCTTAATAAATAAGTATCCTAAAATGACATTTAGGAGGCTTTTCTCAGACTTTCCTAATTCATTTTATATTAGATGCTTTTTTTTATCCATAATTTCTTTCCTGACAGCTTAGCTTGGAGGGTTCAGCAGCTTTAAGCTGTCAGGCAGAATTTGCAGTACAACATGGAGGAAAGAGGATTAAATCCCTTATTACATTACATTTGATTCATTTAAGAGGAGGATAGACTACAACTAGTTCAGGCAGCAAGGAAGGTAAAAACATACAATGCTTTAAATATGAAAACAACAGTGTTACAGTAAGTGTTTGACAGCAGACATTGCTGTGAAGAGCAGCACAACCAGTTTTTAAGTTAAGAGGCAGACAGCTTTTGGTACAGGGTAAGTTTGACGTGGGTAATTGTTTTTCCTGCGATAAACAACACTGTCGGAAGACTAGGGTTGGCATTGTCAGACCTGACAACTAGTTTCATGACTTGAGACAATGAACTGAGAGATGAAAAACAGAATGAATCTGTAATGCACTAAATGATTTTTATGTGTTATTATGTAAAAGTGTGATTAAAGAGGTTTTACGGTCTGCAGGATATGTTAGATGTGCATGCAAATAAATAGTTCCTTAATACGTATGCCCTTGAAGTGTGTGGTGCATGTATGCTTTGAACCAGGGGCACAAAATAAGATTGTGGAATAACCACCCCCCCACACCCACACACACACACACAGATACCACAGGACACATCACGGAGTGGAGAGGGGTTAGCTCTTCAGATGCCGTGCAGAGAAAGCAAAGATAAAAGCTTCATAAACTTTTTATTGTTTTTTTTGTGGTTTGCACACACCCCCGGTTACATTCCTGTCTCTCTAAAAAAAAGTCACATCTCCTCTGATGACAGTTATAATTATTCAGGCAAGATTTTTTTCTAACATCTCATATGAGCATTTGTAAGAATGAGGATATGGTGCTTCTCATAAAAATGATAACACAGAGTAAACCCGATGAATCACCCAAACAAGGTTGTGAGCATCGGCCCGTAGCTTTAAGGAGGCATCACTCCTTCCTGTAAACGTGCTTCGTTTCAACAGCATTCACGTTCAGATTTTCTTATTTGATTAGCTTCCCATTTGTTGTTAAAATATTAATATGTCAGGATTGCTGTGTAACCTTAGAAATCTAGTCTGACATTTGATTTCTTGTTTTATAAGACATTTGGTCTTATTTCACTATAAAGCGACATAAGATACCTTTCCAGTTTCAAATAAGTTCAGAGCCACAATAATATCACATTTCTCAAGAAATACTTGAAATCTTAATGTTCATATCAGACATACATTTCTAGCTATGAGGTCAACTTTAAAGGTCTGTGGAAGCAGCTTCTCCTTACATTAACCATGCTTTAACTCTTAGTGTTAAGTCTCCTTTTTTTTATTGTACCCGATAGCTTTTAAAAAGCATGAGAGCAGATTTTTTATTTTTTTTTTTTTTGCTACCGTTTATGGTTTTGTTTTCTCTTATTTGTCAATTGAATTGTCTTAAAATGTGTTGCTTTCATATTGTGCATTTTGGCAAGTGAAATTTAAATGTGCTTGATAAATGTGAGGTTCGATTTAAAAAGCCTGACAAAATGTTGTTGTGTTAGAATATTCCCTGAAATACAAAAATGCAGGAGGAAATGAGTGCTTTACAGGTGAGACAAGGCCTTTGTTTGGAAAGTTGAACCTTGTTATTGAGTTAAGTTGTCACCGTACATATATCTAATATCAAACCCTGAAGAACAACCTGTTCTGTGTGTCATCTTGTGACCAATCACTGGCTTTTCTCTGTACACAAAACAACCCTTTGCCAAACAACAAATGCATTCTTTCCAGGCTAAAAGATGTAACTTTTGTTTGCCAGCCCGTGTAAGAACTTAATTTATAGGTTAGTGTTAAATGACATAGCCTACATTGTATTAAAGGTGCCATTGTGTTTCAGTTAGGGAGGTATTTGTCTTGTTTAACCATAGTGACATCTGTATCGTTATGTCACTGCTGACCTCCAAAAGCCCGTAAAGAAAGGATTGCAATTCAAGTCAATATCTATTTATGTCTTCTATTATAGTGAATCTTATAATTAAACTGTGATTACATGGTACAAAAACTTGACTAGACGTTCTACATAAAACATCTTTGGCATTTCTTTAACTATTGAAGTCATAGCATAATTGCTAAATGACAAAATACAAATGATGCAGCTACATTCTTATCTATTATCACAAAGATGGTTAACTGTCATTCTAACGTGGCATGTTTTGGGCTGGGAACTTTTGTGATTGAGCAACACATGGCAGCACGTTTTTGTAAGATGAACTGAAAGTTATACAAAGTATTCCGGTATTTATACCTAAAAGTCTCAAAAGAGGGCCTACCTGTACCATTCTGACACTCACTATTGTTTACATCTATGCTGTGATGACGTGTAGTGTATTTTTGGGGGTTGGGTATCCAGTTATTTGGTCCGAACCACATGTGTCTAGTCTGTATTCATAAGTTGCTGAATTGAAATTAACTAATTATTTGATATGCAGGTTTATTTTCTGGTTTTGTGAGGAATAAGTCTCACAAGTCACAACAATAAAAATGGAAAATTTTTGATGAAACATAAAGTAATTAGATTATTGTCAGCCTAAGCTAAAGTATACAGAGTTGTTTGCAGATATTGTTTTTAAAATACTGAAGATAATAATAAACATCTACAAGCAGAAAAGCATGGCAAACACTTATTAACTGTGCTGCTACTGCTAGAGTGCATTGCTACATATTCTTAAAGTATACATAGCAATGAAACCTCTGAAAAAAAGCAAACGAATCAATATGCAAAAAAAACAACTTTTATCTCAAAATGAGAAACATTAAGATCAGTCTTCATAATCAACAAATTTGGAAACTAAGAAAGAAAGCTGACCGTTTGGGGATAAAAGTGGGAAGGAATCTAAATTTATATTAGGTCGTAAAACATTATCCCATACAAGGTTATCATTTTTAACTAAAACTAACAAAATAAAAAATCTAGAATAGAAAATCCCTTTCATAAACTGAAAAAAAAAAAAAAACAGATCTGGCAAAAATAAAAACTAACTAACACTGTGGGTCTGCCTCGCTGCCTACCCTGACCCTGCAGTGGGTGAGGGAACAGCAGGGTGTATCTAGTGTGTAAGAAGGAGTATAGGAACATGTTTAGAGTCTGCTCCTGTGTGTGTCTCCGTTGAGTGCTTGTATATGCCTGTACGGTTGTAAGGGTGGGATTATGTGAATGTGACCGGACTAATTGTAAGAATGAGTGCTTGGCTCCCCTCCCACCTAATGGAATATCCTGGGTCCCAAGCAAGAGTAGGACTTGTCTTCTCCCCCTTCTCATGCTTTCCACCGGTGAGGGGTATCTGTATCTCCTGGTGTGCTGATGGTCCTCTAGGTGCGGGTTTGGGTACTTTGGTGGGTGCTTTCTTATTACAAGGTGCAGAAGCAGCCTCCTTGAAATAACTGTATATCTTCTGCGTTGTTTATTTTGCTGTTTTATTTTGTTTTCTCTCTTCTCTCCCCATCTTGTTCCTGTCTTTTTCTCTTTGTCTCTCCTTTAAATTCTTATTCCCTCTCTCATTCTCACCTCCCTTTATGTCTCTTTGTCTGTTATAAAAGATTTTATCCCCCCAAATCATTTTCAATAAAGTTTCATATTAGGTTAGTTTTAGTAAAAAGCAGAAGATTGTTGTAACAACCCTAATGGTCTGCTTATAAAAGCAAATCTGTTGGGCTATTATCCAGATTTCCACATTGATTTCCATGGCTACTTTGGCCAAAAAAAGGAAAACAAGAGCAAACTTTCATAAACTCTAGATTAGATTAAGATTAGATTAAGATTACATTAAAGACAAGATCATAAAACTGAGACTTGGAGTTGCACTGTGACAAATTAAAAAGAGTGAAAAGGGTTCATATTGTTAGACATCAGCAGGTGAATGGTGGATGGATATTTTTTTAACAAAAAGGATGAACATGAAGGAAAACTAAAGAACCAGTAAGATGATATAAGAGGCAACCAAATATGAGAGAACCAAAAATACTTATTCAAATGCAGCATAGAAAAACAGAAATCTAGTATGTGTAATGAACCAAACATAACTATTACAGAGCTGGTCTCTGACATGATTCTAATATTACTTTTATTAATATTTTATCTTGTTTTCACTTTCAGAATCAGTTCTGTTCTGTGATGGTGCTACTCTCAGTCCTTCTTGAAATTGTTTGTGCTGTTGCAAAAATGTATTATTATATTTAATAAAACCTGAACTAATTATGAAACATAGACAGCAAATGCAGTCATGATTCAATATAGGAGTGTTTTAATGTTTGATAAATGACCTCTGCTGTTTTTATATGACTTTTAAAGACTTACATGACTTTTATATGACTTTTAAAGACATTTCTAATATAATTTGAAGTAAAATACATATCTGTTTAAAATTGCATTTTTCTTTCCTTGTGGAGGGTTACTGTAAGTCTAACTGCTGTTGGAATGAGGTTTTTGTACATTTTGTTTTTTTCTTCCTTTAACATCCCATTATCTTGTTCTAGATTGCAGAAGATTAAGAAACACGATGTGCTCCATTGTCAGTTGACCATCAATGCTGCATTGTCAATGACATCAATGATCTTGTTTGTCCTGAAATTTGAAGTGTTGTTATAACTCTGCCGAAAGATTTTAAATATGTAAGAAAACTTCCCAGAGGGACCTCTTTCCTCAGTTTGATACATTATTTTTTTCTACTAGCAAAACGGGTCTGATGAGTTAATAGGGATTCCAAAGTGTTGATTTAATGGGAGCAACACCATATTTTAGTCATAGGCCTTCAATTTGGTTATTTGCAACAGAATACCTGAGTCATGATACTCATCAGTGCTCTGCAGGATTTCCATGTTCATATGTTTTTA